GGGGTGGGGGGAGGTGGGGGGGAGTGGGTGTCTGCACCCGCCCAACCACCCCAATGCATTTTGCCATCCTGCCACAAAAGAAGGAAAAAAAAAGGCAGGGCCAGGGCTGCGTGAAAAGCCACAATAGAAAAAGAAAAAAAGTGGGGCCAGGGCTGCGCGAAAAGCCACAAAAGAAAAAGAAAAAGAAGGGGGAAACGACGAAAGGCCACGAAAAAAAGAAAGACAGTGAGAAACGACGAAAGGCCAAGAGAAAAAGAAATAAAAACGGGAAACGACGAAAGGCCACGAGAAAAAGAAAAAAAAGCGGGAAACGACGAAAAGCCACAAAAAAAAAAAAAAGAGGGAAACGACAAACGCGCAGCCGCAAAACAGACGACGCGAAAAACATGCCGGCGAAAGGAAAAAGACAAAAACACCTGGCCGCAAAACAGACAACGCGAAAACCACAAAACAACAAACGAAGAACAAAAAGAAAAAGAATATCCACGCAGCTTGAAACAGACGGAACAAAATGAAAAGTTAAAAAAAAAAATAGTCCGCACGGGCCGCTTATCAACGGCGTCCGCTTCAAGATATTCCATCGCTTCTACGCCCGCAGCTGCCCGGCCCTGTGGGCGCTCACTCACGTTTGCTGGCGCGCTGTGAACAATTTGGTATGCGCACCGCTCTGCACGCCCCCCCGCCCTCGATCGCCTTCATCCACCGGCCCGCACCAAAAATTTAGCCCGATTTCAGAGCACAGCGGACAATCGACCTCCCCCCCGTGGCCAATGCTCCTTAAGGGATTGGATTACCTGTCAAATCTGGACAGGACAGTCTTTCAGGCCTTTTTCTTTATTGTCATTAGTATTTAGAATGGGCAGGGAAGTTGAAGAAACAAAAAAATAGACGTATTTTTTCGTTTTGCCGTTTTTGAACTCAGTGCATTGAACCACACTGTCCGTCACCACACAGATTGCGAGATCGCACGAAATCCACACTGCAGACCAGAGATGCAAAGTCCAGATAAGCACAGCTTAGAACAAATTATCATATTAGACAGTTTCAGAGTTCCAGTCACCAAGCGCCCATCAGCGCAGAGTTCTACAACCCGATTCCAGCATCCTCATCTCAGGTAGGTGACTCTCTCTCTCTCTCTCTCTCTCTCTCTCTACTTGAGGATCTTGACTCTGAATACATCCGCTACTACTCAGCCCCACCTTCTATTACTAGCTGTGCAGCTATGGTCGCCTTTCGTCCTCAGCCCAGCGCTGCCCAGCCAGGGCTCCAGTGCTAGCTACCCGCAGATAGCGCACAAGTGCCTCAGCAGCACTTCACACTTCTCGCGAATGAGCAACTCCCTGAAATGAGGCTGGCCAGTCCTTACATTGACTTGCACTGAGCCGTGACTTGTACCAGCCTCTGCTTCACTTGGCTCGACTTGGACCCGGTACCAGCTGCCCACGGCCTGCTTGCTTCAGAATGTTGAGGCCGGTACCTCCCCTGGTTTTCCTTGGTGTGCTGCTGTTTTGGGTCTGTGGTGCGTGCCTTTTGCCTGTTGGTCACGACCCTTGCCTGTGGAATATGCTTTTTTGGCTGCCAGATGCGACTCTTCCCCGGGTAACACGACCTTTGACTGTGAGACGTGACCCTTGGATCCGACTTTAGCCTCTAGCACGTGACTGTTAATGATCGGGTACCTGTTGGACTTGACCTCTGGGGTACCCGACGTACCCTTTCTGAAACAGGCCGACCTGGCCTTTCTGGCCTGGGCATTTGACCCTCCTGCGCGAGGTTCAAATTTGGGGTCTGCATCGTGGAATGCATTTCACTCTCACCGACCTAATTTCGAGGCCCTCCAAGAAAGTTACAATCTTTACCTACCAACTATGTTGATTCCCAGTCTAGCTCTCTCATAGTAAGACACCATGTGTGGTGCAGTCTCTACCAGCTCATCTCTGGTAAACCGGCGATCTTCTGAAGGCTCTTGATAAGCAAATCTAACTTTATATTGTTGCTGGGGTCTACCCGTGTCCAGATCTGTAAACATCCTCTGCAATGATGGGCTCCACGTCGTACTTGCCATCCGTATCGGGAGGAGGAATCATAGATCTTCGGGACGGAAATAGCCCATTGCCGACACAAGGAAGGCATGAAACACCGGGTAACTGTGCAAATGCGGAGGAATCTCAACAACGTAGGAAGGACAATCCACATCACCGATCACGTCAAGTATCTGCCATGGTTAATGTATGCAGGCAATAATTTATGCAAGATGTTCTCGTCCAGGAGAAACTCTTTAGACCTCACCCGGACCAAATCCCCTACAGCAAACTGTGAAGGTCTGTGGTGTTTATTTGCTTGTTCCGTCATCTGATGTTGTGCTTTCCTGATGTTCTCTCTTCTTACCTTTTCTAAGTCTTTCTGATACTGCACAGCGGGTTCTCTCGTCCCTACAGGAAGCCTTCGCACTTCGTCAGGCTTCAGACAGTCAACGGGCCTGCGTAGGCGCCAACCCAAATGCATCTCAGTGGGTGTTCTCGCTGTTGCTACGTCACCACTACGTGCACGGAATTGTTGTAGGCACTAACTAGCGACCTCGGCCAAATGTTCATATCCCAGTCAATCTTATCTGGCCGGATGTACATACGGAACACTGAAGGATTCACATTATACTACGACAACTGTGTTCAGGCCAAAATGTTTAACAAGCTGTTTAATAACTTTACTCATATTAAACGACCGGATGCATCCATCACAGGCATAAGATTCAATGCATCAACTTAGGCAGAAATGTTCAAAAATACGAGCAGAAGCGACCTTCAATACAGCTAGCACACAAAGGAAAAAGACAAGAGAAGAGTAAATTCAGAGACACTTAGCAGAAAAATAACTGTCAATACAGCAGGAAATGAATGAAAAAGTCAAGTGAGAGAGGGGATGAGACATCTAAAATATAACCACCGATGAAATGAAACGTTCTGGTCACGTCGTCCTTTTCTTTTTTTTAAGAAGGGGGAAAAAAAAAGAAACGTTCTGGTCAGCATGCACACAAAGACGCCGGTATCAATGTTCCATACGTCTCCCTTTTTCTCCCCTTCTCTCTTCTGACCAATCCATGGACGTTAGAAACCCCCATACATAGCCGCTTTCGCCCAACTCCTCCCCCATCCTCCCGTCCTTCACCTCGATCTCCCTTCCCACGATCGATGGACTGGGAACAATAATGTCGCAGTACTACTTCCCCTTCCCCACCCCAATCCCCCACGAAATGAACAACATTAAAAGGAAAGCAAAAGTTAACATGAATGGAGAAAAAGCACCGATTAAAAACACCATAACATTAGCAGCTCCTCCGCCGCTCCCGAGATATGAAAAAAATTACAAGGACAAAAAAATTGAAAAAAAAACAAAAAACGAATGGAGAGAGGCACCAATTACTCCCCAGAATGGAAATAGAGCCAGGGCCATAAGAACCCGTTTTATGTAAA